ATTTGACTGTGTGGGTGTCGACACCACAGTCCCTCAGTTTCTTAATGAGAACAGGGTGAGAGACAGTGTCAAAGGCCTTCTGAAAATCCAGGAAGGCTACGTCCACTGCTACCCCTGCATCTAATGATTTGGTGATCTGATCACAGAAGGCAACCAGGTTGGTCTCACAGGACCTGCCTCTAATTAACCCATGTCGGTTGCCCCTAAGCATACTCTCCCCTGCTGCCCCTCGTGGACATGCGCCAGAATAATTCTCTCAAAAAGCTTTCCCAGGATTGAGGTAAGACTAACTGGCCTATAGTTTCCCGGGTCCTCCTTCCTCCCTTTTTTGAAGATGGGAACCACACTGGCCCTCTTCCAGTCCTCTGGCACCACACCAGAGCACCACGAGTGCTCATAAAGCCGTGCCAGGGGTCCCACAATGACCTCAGCTAATTCCCTTAGTACTCTAGGGTGGAGATCATCCAGACCAGCTGATTTGAATACATCCAGTCCCTCCAGAAGTTCCCTGACTAGTTCCTCACTAACCCTTGGCCTTTGTACTTCAGTTTCTTCCTTGGCTGAATTATTCAACTGAAGTACAAGTACCAGTACCTCCAGCACAATGTTTTCTGTTAGTCTTTTCATATGCTCATTGAGATCTTGCAAAACTCATACTAGTTTCAACACCTCCTAGGAAACAGAAATGCCCTGACCTGGCTCTCTCCAGTAGATAAAGCCAGCAATACAACAGACTACAGCTCTGTACTAGATATCATATTTAATATCAGTTCCAGCCAAAACAATTCTACACTTCCCACAATCTCTGCAAACAGGAATCAAACCTGAAAGGGCAATTCAGGTAAAGTCAGATATTCAGAAATTCCAAGCCAATGAAATCTTACTCTATTTGCCAGGAATTATGTCTGCTCAGGTGTTTTGTATCCTGACCCAACATACTCTCCTGGACTTTTCCACTATTACAATTTGCAACAGTTTTTCCGTGAATCTTTACTTGTCTAAATAGATCAGCTAAACAAACTGAGAAGAAAAATATTTGGCTTCCGGTTGTTCTACAGGTGCTTAGAATATTTTTGTTGTTGGAAAACAATTGCCTTACTAAGTCCAAACAATTATGTACAAACTTCCTGAAAACGTAAGTTAAGGTCCAATGAAACTCCATCTGGACTCCTGTCCTAGGCCTGGGAAATCCTACAATTCCAGGAGTAACTTCCTTTAGACAATCTGTTTTGTAGTTCTCTCTTGGAGCTAGGGATCCTAGAAGACACCTGAAGTTTCCTAATGAAAGCAACATTTTTGTGATGGAAAATTCTGAAAATGTGGGGGTTTGGTCCGATACAGGAGTCAAGCCTATATAAGAGCTGCTGTTCTCTTTAGTGTCTCCTCTGGACTATTCTAACAACAGATGCAAGTCTGGCTGACTGGAGGTAAATTCTTGTGGGGTACAGGATTTCATAGAAAATTATCTTGCTTTCAGTTAAACCTTGATGTGAAGGACCTAAAGTTAACTATTATACAGAAGTACCACTTTTTCCTTTGGAAGAAATTCTGCCCAAACACTAGTCTTGCTTTAAAAATTAATTAATTAATTAATTAATTAACTAACTAACTAACTAACTAACAAGCATCACTTGTAGCCTATTTAAACTAGAAGGGAAGAACCATGAGCCCCAGCCTCCTCTGTGGGTTGATGTTCCTCAGGATGCATAAAAAATGCCTTAAAAGTAATCCATTTAGTAAAAAAAAAAATAAAAAATAAAAAATAAATCTTTATTTTCTCCCTCCCAGATTAACTGCGGAAAAGCTAAATTCTGACAGGAGAATAGAATGGAAAATTATGAGAAGGAGAGGTTAAAGTAAGTATTTATAGTTTCCTTAATAAACCAATCTCCAGGTTCCGCCTCTAGAGAATGTTTTCCAAATCCCACAATCCATGGGTCTTATTGCTCAGTTCAGGCTGCCACTCAGATTTCTGCCAAATACAAAGGGCACAGTTCTATTCTTCCAGTCCCTGCTTTTTAGCACTCATCCTCAGTGAGCTCCAGTATCCATCTGTCTTTGCTGTTGTTCAAAACCAATCTTAGAGCACTAGAATAGAATTCTGATTCTTGTCTGTTTCACTGCCGCGCATGCTGTTCTCAAGAACTGCAACTAAACTGACAAAACTAATCACTTTTCACTCCAGCTGAAACTTTGGAAAGCTTTGAGTGACAGAAGCAGTCCCCAAGCAATCTGTCTACTGACTTAGGAGACAGAGCTGCATCACATTTGGACAGCTCTCAAAAGGGTAAATTGTTTTTAGCACATACTTAGATTCTGCAGAAACTAAGAAGGCTCACCACAATTTTTTCTCCATTTATCCCTGGTAGACACGTAAATTTTGACTAATAGATTTTTTTTGCCCCAACCTGAAGATGACTAGAGGGGAACAGAAGGAAGAGGGGTCATGTGGAGTCACCTTTTCCTAAAAGAAGAATGTTTCCCAAGCTGTCTACCAAATTAAATCAAGGACAGTTTCTGTTCTTTCTGGCTTTTCAACTAGTAATGCATACATAATTGAAGGAATTGACTGAAATAAGAACACAATTCAGCACACTTATTTTAAAGGTGTACAGCAGGGTGAAGCAGCACAGTGGCATCTGGCTTGTTCACCTCAAAGCTTACATGTAAAAGCCAGTAAACTATGTGGGATAAATATTAATCTTTAATAACTTATGTTAAAAACTTCATAACATAAGAGTGAAATACCTTGTACATCTCTGCCTCAATTTGCTGGTGAACTCCCACATAGCTCTTCTTTACTTGCTGCTTATCTTTGATCATCATTGTAAGCCTATGTAATGGCCCAGAATTAAGGTCCTCTGCATGAGTCTTCATGATTCGGCTGAGTTGCTCTGTCTGCTGAACCATAAGCAGCCAAGACTAGAAGAAAACAAAAGAAGAGAACTTATTGTTACTGGCTTAGACATAACTGCACCATGGAAAGGAAATGTAAGTCCATCATTAATTTAAATTTAAAAAAATCTTTTTAAAAAAAAAAAAAACTTTGCTTTCTTTAAATCAGTGGTTCTCAACCATTTTTGTACTAGGACCCATTTGTAAACATCAATGGCCAGTCCTGACCCAGTGCCCCTCACTCCCAACCCACTGCTCTGTGCCCCCAGGCCACAGCCCCTCAGTGTATGGGGAGCAGGAGGAGGTGTAGGGGACATGGGGGGCCCTAACCAGCCTACAAGCAAAAAGCCATGTTTTCCCAAATGTTTCTCCTTTAAAGGAGAATCCATTTTTACAGTTTATTGATCCATTTTTTCAAGTTTGTTCACGACCCTTTGTATATTCTTGTGACCCACAAGTTGAGAAACAGTACTCTAGACTATAGTATAATCTTGCCTTTTTCATTCGTTCATAGAATCATAGAAAATTAGGGTAGAAAGGGACCTCAGGAGGTCATCTAATCCAAACCCTGCTCAAAAGATATGAATGATCTAGGTGGGGACGGTCCATAAGTCATAACTCTAGTAGGCCTTAAGTTGCTTAATGGTGTTTGCTTTCACATGACCGAAGTTTTGGTAAGAGGAAGCAAAGGAAAAAGGAGAACAAAAAGTGTGAACTGTTTTACAAAACTCAGGAAAGATGGAATGCAAAAAGCTAGGTTAGAGGTCTTGCAAAAGTCTGTGTAAAGTACATTTACTGGCTAGACAAGGCTAATTTTAGATAAGATATAGTTTGCATAAGGCATAAGAATAGGAGTATGAATATTAATTTGAGTAACATCAATTAAAAACACTTCTTTATTTTACCTTATTTAGTAAGCTTTTTGATATTTTAGCCAAACCACAGAGTATACAATTTTGGGCTCATCTCAAAATCTTTGCTCTTCATTGCTAAATAGCCCATCCACAGAAACTAAAATAAAAACTCTTTTATAACTTAATTTGAATCTTAAGTGAAAAGTTCTTTTCCCCAACAGGCTGTTCACCTGTTAGAGGCTTTTTAGACTTGAGGGCTTTGAGACATTTTACATTTTCTTAAATGTTAATGAGATTATTACTTACTATTTCTTTAAATGAATGTGCACTTTATACAATTTTAAACATTTGTTTGATATGCCTCATCTGTATGGTAAGTCATTTATATCATTTCACTATTTCATTATTTTACCTACATCTATGTTTGAGTATTTAACTTTGGTGGGACTGGCTGTTTGAACATTTCTTGGTTCTCAGAATATCTTGGGGTCAACACAAGGGAGTTAGAGATATCAATCCACAAGTTTGGGTCTGTCAAGAAAGTTACTCAGCCTCATCTGAACTCTCTTCCAAATTCCTTTGAGACACATGTCCGTGATCCTTTCTTCCTACCTCCCCAACACATGCTACCCACTGCCCTAGGCAAGTTTTGCTTTTACTTAAATTCATCTCAGTTATGTTACTAATTCGCTTAACTGTGCCATCTGCATTTTTTTAGAGGAGAAAAAAAAGAGCTTTCCATTTAGTTAACATACAAGGCCAGAATGTACAGTGTACTTGTACTCAGTTCCAGACTTGAACCTCAAAAGATACCTTTATTTGATATTTATAGAAGTTTATCTCAAGGAGTCCTGCATAATTTTAATAAGAATATAGAGGGGTAAGAATCCGACTTCGAAAGGATAATTTTCTAAATTCAGCATCATGGATACTGTACCCCAATTAAAATTAAAGGATGTTGGTAGTTATAATCATCAGCAATGGGATTTAGCTGGAACACTGCGACTAAAAGTTCTCACTCTCACTGTAGAGACCACTGTATCTTTAGTAACTAAAGGTAAGAAACTCTGTTTTACAACCCATGTAAAAAATCACCCCCACCATTACGTGCCTCTTAATACTAGACTGGATCCTAGGTTTAATACTGACTTATATTAAAGAAAATTACCAATTAAATCATATTTCCTGTATGTCATACATGTCCTTTGGACCTTGCTCATCAAGGCAATACACTAGTAGCTACAAGGTTCACAGCCCAAGGTGACATGCCTAAAAGTTACACCTTTTCATTGGAGAAAAATCAAAAGCCATTAATCAAAATCAGATTTGCAAGATATATTGCAAATGGCATACAAAAAAAACTAATGACAAAAGGACCAGATTTAGCAGCAGTTGTATGCTCCAATGGTTATGAGCGAGACAGAAACCATGAAAATTCGGTGTTCTATTTTAGTGTGACCCACTAACTTCAGCAAAACAACTTATCACAATCTTGTGTTTCAACAAACCTTAGAAGTATCAAAAAACCCATTGCCTCACCAAAGCACAGATAATACAGTTAAAAAGTTTTGGGATAATTTTTTTTTTATTTGCCCAAACAAAACCCAAGTAAGACATAAGACTAGTAATAGCATACCCATTTGCATGTTTCCAACCATTTTATATTCTTCTTTGCATGCTGTGCTAATACTGGTTTAACAGTATGTTATTATTTTAAAAAGAAATGCCAAGACAGTCATACCAAAAAATTACAGCATGAAGGGCAGAAGCAGGGAAAGCTTTTCTGAATTAAGATTTGCAAAGCCTACAGAAACAGCTTGTGGGGGGCACAGAGTTCCTTCCTGCCTGCTTTGAGAGGAAAAGAAATAATATGAGGCACAAGAAAAGAAAACATTGATCGGTTTAAAAGTAACGCATGTTTATTTTAAACATGCACAATAGCCATATTTACTGGAAGCCCTTTTAAAAATAAAATATTGCTTATCTAGCAACTTCTTTGTAAACAGCTACTGTGCCTCCCAGGGAACATACTACCTCTTTTTCAGAACTCACATTATCATTTGCATTCCAATCATCAACTGTTGGGTTTTTTTACGACACAGAACTAGAAATCAAATACAGAAATGTAATTTTTCCAAGGGTAAGGAAAATGTAATTTTTCTAAATGCATTGACAATAATTATTTCTGCATTATTACACTGCCCTGAAGGTGATGAGCAAGACCTTGTGAAAAAGCAAGTAAAATCAGACTAACTTGGAAAAAAAAATGAACAAATAATTCTGCGAATTCAGTTCTCTCAAATTGTCTCACATTTTGGATAGTAGAAATAGCTTATGCAGCTAAAAATTCCTATCAATTTTGGGAAAAGTTAAAGTTCAAATAAAGATTTAAAAACTGTTAACATATTCATTTATTTGTTAAAAAGACAATACATGTGACAATTAATAATTTTTAGTGTCCTTTGCAAGTGTGGGTATGACAACTTACAGGACAGCAAAGCTACTTTTCCCAAGGATAATCACAGTCAAAACATTTCTTTTGAACAAATACTGTAAGTAACTGGCTACATTTTGCCTTTTGACCTTTTTAAAATACCAGATTGCAATTATTTCTAATTTAGGCTTAGGCTTGGAGCCTTGCCACCTAAGGCTGTAATATCAAACATTAAACCTAAGTAAGGTTTGTCAGCATTTGACTGAGGCCTTGTCTACAGTAAAAATTCTACTGGTACAGCTAGCTAAACTGACAGAGTTAAGTATAAACAAGTACAGTAACGGTAGCAGTAGAGCTACCATTATTAGCGCTACAGTACCAGCAAATCTTCCTAGTATAACAGATGCTTCATTCAAACAAACCTTTTTCTAGTAGTTTCAACTGGTTCCCAAAGTCGTACTAGTAAAAGTTTTTCTTGCCAGTATAACTATATACCCTGAGGTTTTTGCAAGAAAGGGGGAAAACATAAATACAACCTGCTCTATGTAATTAATTGTTACAACTGGCAGTCTATGAGGAATTAAACAGCGGCCCCCAGGATCCTGGCGAGTCGCTGCTCCCTACATTGCTGAACAATCGGGGCAAGGCATTGCTGCAACATGGAGAATTGTGGTGAGCCTAGGACACACAGTACAACAAGGGGTGGGAGGGTCACAGGCATGAAGCCCAGCAGTCAGGCATCTACACAGTGTAGAAGTGTGGGGACATGGATGTACAGTGCAGAAGTGGGGGAAACTGAGACGCTGCAGGTGCATGGACAGGGGAATAAGGGTTTGCAGCCTGGAAAAGCAGTGGCTCACTTTGTTGAGGCATGCAGCTCCCAACAGGTGCCTCCTGGCTACATGGAAGTTGGAACAGCCCTGCAATTAGACAAATTTGAATCTAGATCAAGCCTAAAAGACTTGCTAAAAGGAAAATCCAGCTTGAACAACAAAAAGAGGTTCTTAAGACAAGAGGAGGTTTTATAAGTATGGCGACCAGAAAAAGGAGACCAAGGAGCAGCAGGTCCACTGTTAACCAGCTAGGAGGAACTTTTAACACAAAATTCAAAGAAGACAGAGCTACTCAACAGCTACTTTTCCTTTGTCTTCACAAAAAAATTAAGCTGCACCTAATAAAAAAATATTTAGGTAAGGAAGGGGACAAGCTAAGGGAAGAAATAACGAGAAACAGTCAGAGATCTTCTGATGGGTCTGAATTAATTCAAGCCAGCAGGTCTTGATGAACTTCATCCCACAGTACTGAAGGAACTGGCAGAGGAGGTCTTTGATCCCTTGGCAATGATATTCATGAAATCATGGAACACAGGAGAGGTACCAGAGGACTAGTAAAGAGTCAACTTAGTGCCCCTCTTTAAAAAAGGAAAAAAGGAGAACCCAGAGAACTACAAACTAATTAGCCTTAGGACCTACTCCAGTAACTTCCCAGGTATTGAGGTGAGGCTATTTGCAAGCTGCTGTGGGAGGAAAGGCTTATCACAGGGAACCAGCATAGATTTACTAAGAACAAATCATGCCAAACAAACTCTGTCTCCTTTGACCAAATAACTACTTGGGTGGATGAAGGAAGTGCTATGGACATAGTGTATTTGGACTTCAACAAGGTTTTTGGCAAGGTCCTGTACGACCTTCTCATAAACAAATTGGAGAAACATGGGCTAGACAAAACTCTCATAAGGC